CGGCCCCGGCCCCCTGCCCTCAGCGCTTCCCAGGCGGAGTCTGAGTGGACGCACTTTTTCTAGCGACTAAGCAGTACATCCTGGAAACAGTGCCGGCAATTCGAAGAGCAGGGCGTTGAAAAATCTCTTTTGAAAAAATAAAAATATTTTGGGGGGTAAAGACGGAATAACCAATTTATGACACCATTCATGAAACTGCTCTTGTACACGGTTTCATACTGGACAACAGCTTTGCACATGGGAAGAACCAAACACTGCATAGTGACCTTTGAGTACATGGTTCTGCACTTGAGTATATTCGTGAATCAGAATAATCCTCAGGCTTTTATGTCGTTCAGTAACTGTGATCAGACTTACTTTAGACAGAAGCACACCAAAACACCTTTGGTTCAGAAAAGGATTCCTTCCCTAATGAGTGAGAAAGCCAGTAAATGATATGTCATGAGGAATAAAGCAACTGGAAACAGTGTTTCCGATTCAGTAAAGAAGCAAATCAAACAAGAACTTAAAGGTTTTTCTCATGTAGTAATATAAAGATACAGCCACAAAAGTTGATGTTACCTAGTTCTGTATATAAAGGTGGAAAAAAAAAACCCACCCAAAACGTTTCAGACCTCTTAAGGCTGAATTGAGTCGTTTTTTTTACAAACAAATTTTCTTTTACTTTTGGATTATACAGATGGTGAGGTTCATGTTCATCACTTTTTGTCACAACCTTTCAGATTCCTTCAGAGATTCCTGTTAATAGAGGGGGGGAAACCTAGTGTTAAATTATTTCAAAAAATGAAAGTTATTCAAAACAGGTAGCAAACATAGACTGTAGGACACAATAGCAATAGTAAAGGCTAATGATTAGTCGCCAGAATATGTAAATCTTTTCAGAATTTAAAGAATCCCACTCATCCCCTCCCCTGCTTCATTGCCTGGATAGGGAAGAATAGGAAAATCTGAGCTGGGAGAGGTGTGAAAATGGAATATTGGAGGGAAGGTGGGCCAAGATTAGGGTGAGGCAAATGAGGTGCCTGGGACTCAAATTTTGCACCCTGGGCATCTCGAATCCTCACCCTAGCCCACCCGGCGAGGTGGAATGGAGGGGGCACAATGGCGGCTAACAATGGCTGGCCCAAAGAAAGGACTGATGTAAAAAGTACAGTCACTGCCAGCCACCCCCTGTCCTAGCTGCTGCCACTCTAAGTAGGCTCTCTGAATCCTCTGATGATTCTAAATTAGTCCAATAACTGCAAGAAACCAGAGTTTTCAGTTAAATTAAAAATAGATGGGGAAAAGGAAAAATATTTTAAAAAGATGAAAGTGTTCAAATTTTCAACATTACGTAAATTGGTAAATAACTTATTTAACGCTATATATGCTGTGTTTTACAAAAAGTACTATATCGCCCTAGCTGGTTTGGCTCAGTGGATAGAGCGTTGGCCTGTGGACTGAAGGGTCCCAGGTTTGATTCTGGTCAAGGGCACATGCCCAGGTTGCAGGTTCGATCCCCAGTGGGGGGCATGTAGGCAGCCAATCAATGATTCTGTCATCATTGATGTTCTATTTCTCTCTCCCTCTCCCTTCCTCTCTGAAATCAATAAAAGTATATATATTTTTAAAAGTACTATATTTTCCATTTGGTCTTTACAAAAATGCTTTGAGAATTTTACATTTTACAGTTGAGAAAATAAAGCTCAGAGGGATTCAGTGGTTCCCAACCTTCCTAATGCCCCGACCCTTTTAATACAGTTCCTCATGTTGTGGTGACCCCCAACCATAAAATTATTTTTGTTGCTACTTCATAACTGTAATTTTGCTACTGTTATGAACCTTAATGTAAATATCTGATATGCAGGATATATTTTCATTGTTCGCGACCCACAGGTTGAGAACCGCTGGAAGTAATTTGTTCAAGGTCACACAGCTAGTAAGTGTCAGAGATAGGATTTAAGTCAAGCCGATGGGCCCTAATGCTTGTGCTTTTTACCATACTTTTCTATTTGATATTTGTAGAGTTCTTCATAATCTGCAAAACACTTTTGGATCTATTATTTCAATAAAGGGCATACTTTAACTTGACTCATTAATAATCCAGATACTATTTTCATAGTATATCATTCTCTCAAGTTCTTGTCTAGGATCCCAGAAAGTACACAGCTTTAGAGTGCTATCAATTTTCACAGAATGTGATGTAGGTCTTGAAATTATACTTGTCTTTTTTCTAAATATGTCAAATTACTTGCAATCTTAACTCACTGTTTTTATAATGTAAAATAATCACACAGCAGTGAAGATGATATATTGCTTAATTATATATATATATATATATATATATTATATCACAAAAGGTTTCATATAATTGGTACTTTTTTCACCTTTCAACTCTTTCCCTCATTATTTAAGATATAATTTACATAAATTCATTATTTTGACTATATAGTTTAACAAGTTTTGATAAACATGTATAGTCATATAACCACTACCACAATAAAGATTTGCAATATTCCTCCCTGTCAAATTCCCTGGTGCTTACCCCTAGCCTTGGCAACTACTCATCTGTTTTATGTCTCTATGGTTTTGCCTTTGCCAGAATGTCTTAGAGTTATACAGTCTGTAGCCTTTAAGTCTGGTTTCTTGTGTGAGTATAGGTCCATTTCACTTCGGAAAATACCTAGGAGTAGGACTGCTAGATATGGTAAGTAAATGTTTAACTTTATAAGAATATGTCAAACTATTTTCCAAAGTGGCTGTACTATTTTTGCATCCCCACCAGTAATGCCTGAGAGTTCCAGTTGTCCCATATCCTCGCTAGTATTACCATATTTTTTCTTTTTATCTATTTTTTTTAAAGTTTCTTTTTTTTCTTCTTTTTAAAATATATTTTATTGATCTTTTACAGAGAGGAAGGGAGAGAGATAGATAGAGAGTTAGAAACATCGATGAGAGAGAAACACCGATCAGCTGCCTCCCGCACATCTCCCACTGGGGATGTGCCCGCAACCCAGGCACATGCCCTTGACCGGAATCGAACCTGTGACCTTTCAGTCCGCAGGCCGACGCTCCATCCACTGAGCCAAACCGAAAGGGACCTTTTTATCTATTTTAATAGATATTTTAAAGGAAAAAATGATGCAGTATTTTAAAATTAGATGATTTCACAATCTAGATATCTTGCTTGACAGCTAGATATCTCAAGTT